CGGCCTCGCCCCGCTCCCCGTCGCGGCTCCCTCGCGCCCGGCCGCGCCGCCCTGCGGGCCCCGCCGCCGGGAAGCGCCCAGGGCAGCTCTGCTCCGCGCGAACTCCCGGCTCCCGAGCAGAGCGCGCGCGGCCAAAGCCTCCGCAGCGCCAGAGCGGTGGAAATTTCCATGCGTGCCTTGTCATGGCTTTGTGCGGGTGCCAGAAGGCAGCGCTTAGGAGGAAACACCCAGTCGGCTGTTTCATCGTGAAAAAAGTCACGTTAAGGCGCAGTGGAGTCGTGTCAGCAGCGCTGGCTCTGCAGCACGCTCAGTCCCGCAGCAGTGACTAGTTAAGACAACTCGGCAGCAGGCCCCTAGGCCGGCTGCTGGATAAGTTGTAACTTCTGAGCAAAACAAAGCCGTTCAAAACGTGCTGCCCTGAGCCAGCCTAGGGAATACTGTGATGCAGTTGTATTTGCAGTGCAGAGCTGTGCTCGGTGCACTTCAGCACCGAGATCTCTCCCAGAGCCAAGATCACCCTGTTTTGCATAGCTCCTTTTATCGCCATGGCTCGAGTGCCAAGTTTCACCTGAACACACAGATGTCCACGGGCAGGTACAATCTTAAAAACTTGCACTAAATATATCATTAATAAAGCACACACCTCCCCACCACCTACTTAAAATTTACAATATCTGACTTGCACATGCTCACTTTAACAACTGTGGCTCTGTTTCCTATAGGGAAAAAAAAAGCTATTTTAAAAGGTCTCTGCACCACATCATTTTTATTTAAACCTTGAGTCTGAGTTTTAACTAGCTTCTCGTTACTGATAAACAAGAAGCAAGTGGGAGTGTTACATGGAAGTTTAATGCTTTCAAGTACAGCAGCTTAAGTGCTTTAACTAACCCCAGGATCAAGTGCTTGTCTGCATTCAGCTCTGGGTCTGCACACAGAGACACTTTAGGCCATTGTTTTTACTCAGCATGGATGGTGCTTTGAGACCAGGGAGTATTTATTTGCAGAGAGGGCTAAGCTCAGGAGCACAGGGAGGGGGAAGCTATGCAGAATGGTGGGAGACAAAGCTGTTTTTCTTTCCAGAGCAGAAAGCCAAAGCCTCTACTCAGCGAACAATAGCCCACTTCCCTCCCTCCACTTCCAAAAAGAAATCACTGCTCAATACCAGTTTAAGTGTAATTTGAAGTTTTAATACTAAGATCTTCCCATATCTCTGAAGCTCATAGTAAGCCTGCATGCTAACTCACAAGGCCTGATAGCTGTAGGTACATTACACTCAAGCCTAGCCTGCATGTTTGCTCATGTGAAGGCGACACTTATGGTGCTGCAAATAAAAGGAAAAAAGAAAAACGAAAAAAATAAAAAATAAAAGCAGCTCCCTACACTTGTCCCAGAAGCACACTAGCAACACCATTTAAGCAGAGTTTTGGTTAGCAAGAGTTTTAGCTATACCATTACTCCTATGGTTGTTTTTCAAAAATCAGCCCTACTCTATTTACAGGGAAGAGTACTGTTTCCAATAGGTAGAAGCCAGTTTTAATTTTCTTCCCCCTTAAAGTGGAGCCTGCCCTGCTAAGCAATCTAGCCCAATCAAGGCAAGGCTGGTTATTGTATATGCTTTATCTTAACTGCTTAATCAGACACAGCTGAGAAACCCTCCTAGAATTTAATATAAAAACATCTGACAATCCATTAATGTAAAGTTGTGCACATGTTGAGAAAATTGCAATTTGAAAGAAAATTCGGTCTTGAAATATCTTTATTGGAAGGCCATGCACTGCCTTCATTACTGTATTTCAAATCACTGTACATTTACTTTGAAAACACTGTCTGCATTTTCTAGTACAAAAAACTAAAAATTGTTTCAGGAATGTAGAGAAATATTCAACTTAAATAGCGAAAAAAGTGCACCATAATTACTGCTGCACTGCAGTCATTTCTGCATTTCCCGTTTCTTAAATAACTATCCTGTCTTGGTAACACACAATATAAAGAGCAATTATGAAAAACTGAGACATTTAAATACACTAAGTTATTGAGAATAACTTGTCGGCATTGGGTAACCTATCATAGGAGCAGCAGTACCAGTGGCAGGATACGCATACTGCTGTTGGTTCATGCCATTGTGCATATTTGCAATGTTACTCCCATATTGCTGCTCATAGCCATTCTGGTAAGCGCCTGCGGCTGCCGCTGCTGCTGCAGGGGTACCAGCCCTGAAGCCAGCCTGCATGCCTGCAGCTGCAAAACCGTTCCCAAAAGGAGTTCCATTACTGTAGCTTTGGGCACTGAAAGCCCCATTTTGAGCTTTTGCTCCAAAGTCTCTCTTCCCTATTGCACCATAAGTTCTCTCAAAGTTCTCCCTCTCTCTAAAACTACTAAATCCACCCCTTTTGCCCGCAGAATATCTGTCACGTCGATCACCTCGGGAACGACCTATTAAAAGAAAAACACAAGACCATAGTTTATAAGTAACATTGCATTTTAGCTTCAGTCTACTGAATGAATTTAAGCTTTTAGTTCCCCCTTGACCAACAATGAACCCAAGAGAACATCTTTCTGTTTCAGCCCCATCAAGACAAGCCTACTATGAAAGTCTTTGTTACAGTGTATACCCACTGAGTACACCAAATTTTAGCAAGACTGTTAGGACAGAAATAGGTGACAACTTAATCCAGGAGGGGACAGCTACACTTAGATG